AGCATGTGAAAATACTGCAGAGCAGCCGCTCCATGTTCAACCAAACACGTCACCAATCGTCAATATAAATGCACCATAGCAACAGGGCATGAGCCCTAATCTACGTTACATTGACAAACAAAAATGCCCAGCCGTTGCATAAACTCTAGGCAATGAGACCATGAGCAGACAGTGGAAAATGAAAGAAACGGTATTCATTCATATAAAAGGTATTCATTTCACGTCACTGCTGAGAGCTTACAACGAGGCCACCAAAACAATCAGCCACTCAGTAGTTTCATGTAAAAGAATCGGAACGCCGGCCAGATCCTTGTTTAAAGGATGTGAAGGAAACACAGCTTTGAACCACCGTGTGGAAGGCACTCACATGAACCTCCAATACTCTCGAATAGAGCTAAGGGGATGAATCGGACCCGCAGGTTTGAAACAGTGAAAGCGGTACAAGTTATAACATTGATTGAACTACGACCAGGAAAAGGAAAAAGTGCAAGGTGAATTAAATCGATGGGGGGCTTTTCACGCAGCACTTAGCCCCGGGCCAAGAAAGCTTTCCCGCCAACAGGCCTCGCTGGCCCCCATCCCGCGGAGTAACCAGCAGTCACGTGTCTGTCAGAGGACATTCAACCCTCGGCGAGTGGACGAGCAGCGTGACCCACGTGTTAACAATGTGTGTCAAGGAGGCGCGGGGGGCGGGGGGGCTTAGTTATAGCCCCAGGCCAGACGTAGCTCTGGTAACGTTAAGTGGTGTAGGAAGCACACTCCTCTCAGACTACAGCAAAATCAGGGAAGGGTCACGTGATCCCCTGCACAGTTTAAAGACGAATGATTTACCTGCACTGACTGTTGATGGAGTATTTTTATACTCGGCCCAATACTGCACACAAATGTCATTAGGTCATGTGGTTATTATGTCGGGACAAATACCAAAAGGGGTTACGTTTTAATTACTAAATAAAAACTTATGTTGAATTTATCTCACCGTATCTCAAATTGAAATCTGGATTAAAGCGGAAACTCTGCCCACGTTCCCGTGGCGGCCCTGCCAGTGTTGACAGTAAATTAAGTGTGTCAATTGAGGCAATTAATTCCATGCAGAGGAGGCACCTTCTTATTGTTATCTTATGTCGTCTTTTACTGTATCAGAGAACCTTCCATGATGAAAAGAAGTATGTGCAACTCTGTGTTACATTGAATCCATGATATATATATATATATATATATATATATATATATATATATATATATATATATCACACATTCTTTTTGATCACAAAATATGCTTGGATTCTAAAAGACAGAACTAAGGAATACATTGAAATTAGTTGAAATTGAAATTGAAATTTAAAAAGTTCTGTAAAACATTTAAAGGGAGTTCATAGGGTCCTGGAAACAACGGGTACTGGAGATTTGGGAGAAAAGCAACTAATAGGTGAAAGAAAAAGAAAAAAGAAATACTAACCTTTGGTTTCTGTTCCAGAGCAAAGATGATGGCAGATCGTGCAGCCAAACAGAAGATGCGAGCATAGAATCAAGAAACAGCAAAGGGGAGAAACAGACGGAGCAAACAGCAGAAGAGCTAGTTAGTGATTTCTGAAGCAGGCATTATTTCAGACAGTGTCAGCAGAGAGACAACAGGAAGCAGTGGTGCGGTTCATAGATTCAGTCTGCGTTCATAGTAAAAAAGCATCTTTGTTATGAAACTCCTCGCGATAACGGACTCTCAAGACGTGTCACTTCATGGACAGTCTCCATGTTTTACTAGTGATTTGAGTCTCCAACGGCATTAATAGTCAATGATATCAGACATCACAGGCCAGAGCCCAATGTCCGCTCCCTTAACTCGGACATAATATTACACGCTACGGCATGAATTAGCAGACCGACTTCCCCGTGTACGGATCCAATTTGTCCTTGACATGCAGAAAATGATTTGAATGGTTGGCGAGAGCGGACTCCGACTATTCCGAGTTTAAGCGTGAAACAAATCCATTTTCTCAGTGACTTTAAATCCTTCGATGCGTGTGGATACTTCCTACCAGATGTAATTTCAACCGTTCAAGTGCAACCAAAAATGACTGTGGTATTAAATTACCAATTGTTGGAACGCCACCATAAAAAGTCACTTCAGTGCGTCTCGCCACATGGTCATTAGACAGTTTGTTACAATGAATTACAATGGCGCTGGAGCTCCTGGCACATTGTGGTCCCCGTCTGGAAGCTGCGTGAGGAAGGACTCCACCCGCAGTACAAAGACTGCAATCAAAGCCTTCAGATGTCACGGGAACATGTTGAAGCTCGGAGTTCAAAGCGGCATTAGCTACGCTAAATTCATAATCCGCGGTTATTAATCACAATGAAACCCCCCTCACTCGTGGATCTACTGCTTGCGGAGACGCAGCCTTTTGCCAGCCAAGGAAACCGATGTGCGAGCAGGTCCTACTGTACAGGTACACCTTTTCAGGTGAGGGTTCATTTGTTTGGGTGGATGGATGAAGAGAAAAAGAGAAAGTGTAAGCAACTTTTTATAAATATGTTTCAAACATCCATTATGTTTTTATTAATACCTGAAATTTGACGACCCGTAATCCATTAATGATGTGTTAACATGTTCTAACAATGTTACATGGCCTGTATGTTTCAATGAACATGAAACATTTGTGTTACCTGTTGCACACCTATTAAAAGTAATTTGATTAAAGCTGCAGCAGAAGTTCAATCATTACAACCCTGCATCCACAACATTCCCCACTAAAACGCAACAGACACCACCTGAATTTCAGTGGGGCTATTTCTTTGACTGTTTCTGATGGACAAAATGCAAATTACAGACCAAATTGATTGATTTATCAGCGCTTCTTAGGGTAGGCCCAGTAATTAGGGATTATCTATCACAGTTAAAGAGGAGATTAAACTACATTTGCACCAAAATTCAAAGAAAAAAGAAAAAGAGCCTTGCATTTATGACGACGAAGAAAATATTTCAAGAAAGAATGCCAACTGTTTGCATAATAAATCAACATTCGCACACAATTTATTAAGTCCATACTAGCTCCTTTCATGTACAAAATGTACATGCTGAAAATGTACGCTGCTGAAAGCACTGTGGGATTGCGCCATTATACTTTCAGACAAAGCCCTGAAAACATCAAGAGCAACATCCGCACTGTGCCGGCACTAATTGAAAGGTTCCCCTGGTCTCTCATGATTAGGAAAGGCCGGTTAGATCAAAGGTTAGCAGAAACCCGGGAAGCCGAGACTTGAGACGAGCACAGAAATCAACTATTATTCGGTATGGTCCCATTTTATTTTGTTCACTCTGACCTCTTAAGTCTTAAAAAAAAAAAAAAAAAAAAACTAATTTACCGCAATTCATTCTGAGAGGAGATAAAGTGTGTCTGACCCCAAAAATGAACAACGACCCAGAGCCATAAAGTATATTGCTGCTGTGCCTCGAATGCACTTAGTTAAATATAAACATGCAATATTTATAAATAATATATCTACATTTTAAGTCTGGTTGAATGTCATTCCAGCCTTCTTTCCACACTAGTAAGGATACAAATTTACATAAAAGGTATTTTCATTTACATTAAGTTGAGGTCTACTAGAAACAACAGCGACGGTCCCACATGGCCATCACAACTCGTCAGCTTGTGTACACGAAGGTCGTGAGCCTCTTAGAAAACAACAGCGAGAGGCACAAACATCGCAAAACATAAATTAATATTTAATACAAAATTTTAAAAAACCCTGAGCGAACCCTGAGTTTATGTTGTGTATGGTTTTAATGTTTAATGCGGATCCAGATGCCGCTGCTCTTAAGCAAGATGAAACATGATACTACATGGCTGAGCTAATAAGACGACATGCACGTCGCGCCCCCTCCGCCGGGACGCGGGACGAGCACAGCGAAGACACGGTTTCATCCCAGTCTCATGAGCGGTCTGCAGTCCCCCCCCACGATGAGAAGTGTCTCGTAATTACTGTAAAGGCACTGGCTGTGGGACATCACAGTCTGCGGGAGGACATGCGTCCTTTGTACTCTCTAGAGAACACCTGCGCGTCTGTGTCTGTCTGTCTACCTGTTTGCCATTTAGATTGCCTCCATTATTCAGCGCCTCGCCGCAGCGGGGAACAAGGGGGTGCGCCGGTGTCTAGTTGAGGGAGCGGCATGGAATTGTGACAGGTGGATAACACCTGGATGAATAATTCAAATAGACATGAGCTAGCAGAGTAAGTGACAAGACAAGAAAGAAAACAAGACGTGTGAATAAATCATTAAGGGGGGCGGGGGGGACTAATAGACCACGCACAGAGGACAAGACTGATAACATCTCATGCTACCTCCTGCTTTGACTTTAATCATTCCAACAACCTTGTACATGAATATTCTACATCATGCCAGCCTCACTAATGTGAGTGGGTGTAACTGTGGTGTTTTTCATACCGGGAACCAATAATATTGACGTTGAGAGGAAGTTGGCACAATCACAATATTGTTTTGCTCGGTGTCCTGCATCAATATATTACATCAGACGACGGCATTGGCAAGAGGAGACGTCTTAATAAATGAAAATAAATAAGCCTTCTAGTTCATTTAGCTTTAATAAGAAATACGCTTTAAGCAGAAGAGGAAATTTGAACTAAGAACTGAAAAATAAGTCATGCGAAACTATCTCAGCATCCATTCACCCAACATTTGCCTTCAAGGGTCGGAGAAAGCTTTCTAGCACTTGCGATTCTTCTTCAATGAAGACACACTAACAGTTATTCTGTAGCGGAGAACGATTAAAAACACATTTACGATGTTATTGCTTGTGTTACCACTTCAGCTCGACTGAGAAACGCTGCCATGTTACTCGCTCGCACCATGTTGAAAACTTGAGCAAAGTCGGGGGACAGAAATTTGGGACTTGGAAGCAGATGGTGCGATATCAGAATAAAAGGGTAAATATAGACTCAATTAACAAATGATGAAAAAAAAAAAAATTAAGTCTGACCTGTTCTTTGTGAACCAAAAGTGAGAGCGACTCTCCCCAGTAATTCCGGTTTTGCGTATTGGTTTTCATCTGCCTGCACCCAGAAACAGCCCTCTGACATTTCCTGGGGACGAATCTGAAAACAAACATCCGCAGTTGAGCACACCTAGTCAATATGTACGAGCACATCGTTTGCAGATATTATTCAAATATAAAAGCCAAACAAGACCAAATGAAATCAATCTGCTGGACTATTTTCCTTCCAGTTCCCAAAGTGAATGTAGGTGCCGGGAATCCGTAAATAATGAAAGTTCATTTTTTTGGGGTGGGTCACAGAGCTGTAATCGTTAAAATGCTCTCTAAAACTGGCTGAGCAGCTAAGCTGGAGTTGCAAGTTTGAAATCTAATTACTGAAGAAGTTCCCTAACTGCTTTGTCCCAGACATAAGCACATGTGGGTGCTCCATACAGCTGTTCCATACGGCGGGTCTTCCTCATGCCAACTTAAAATGGCAAGCATATGGTTTGGTTTGCCCGAGCACCTGTACATGTACAACGTAGATTAAATTATTAATCAAACCACAAACTAATAATCACCTGTGGTGTGAACCAATATTGCTCTGCACAGAAAAACATCTGTGCAGGTACCACTAAGGCTGCTCTGACAACAGCGCCTGATCAGCTGTTTTCTTCAATCATTATTACTTGCTTGGCACAGTGTTAGGGAGTTGTTGTTTAGTTTTAGAAAAACATCTGTACTGTTCAGGTTCTGCCAGTGAACATCAGGAGCAGAGGAAGAAGGAGCAAAGAAAACCGCCACTATAAGTATCTGGCCTAAATTTTCCCCAAACTTTTAGTCACCCATAGTCCAGCACAAAGGGAAAACTTAGTTTTTTCTTTACCTTGGACCAGTTGAGCCGCTTCATGGCGGTCTCAGGCTTGAAATCCTTCTTCGGCCTGAGGCCATAAGGCAGCGCGTGTTGAGTGGGGGAGCCTAGAAAACCTCCAAGCCCCAGAGGTGGTGGAGGGGGAGCACCAAAGGGAGGAGGCCCTCCGGGTGGGGGAGGTGGGGCGGGACAACCAGGTAAGGGAGGCGGAGGAGGCGGCGGAGGGTGAGCAGGCGTGCCTGGTGCGGGAGAAGGAGGCCCGGGCGGCAGCTTGGAGGACGGCGATGCTTGTCCAACATGGGTCGAGGACAGAACCACCGGCACAGACCCAAACTGCAGAGAAATAATGCCCATGTAACAAAACAAACAGGCACTATTGAGTTCCCCTGGAGCTAAGCACTTAAATACTATAATCACCACATCTCAGTTCTCAATCCACGATTATTATACTGAAAAGATTGTCTGTGTAGAGAGAATGGAAAACACATAACTGAGTCTTCGTGTTGCAATAGTGATGATACTTGTTGCTGAAATAAAGTTAATTGTTGATTTAATAGTCTTCAAAGCCTTAATTCAGAATATAAAGACAATTCAGCTTTTCAGACAGTTGATCGGGTTTAGCAGTGCTAAACAAACCTTTCCTGGATAAATAAAATAAATGGGGAATTCCAATAGCGCAAAAAAAAGAAAAAGAAAACGATTTCTGAAAGTGAAAAGGCTGCAGACTAAACGCAGCATTTGTCAAGTGTGAAGCGCAATATGCTTTCCTCTTTAATACCCCTGTGCTCAGGATAACTGAGGTGTGGTCCCTCAACCGTCATGAAGAGGGAAAATGTTAAAAAACAATCAAGATTCTGTCCAGAACTTTCCCACAATGATTAGTTCCCCCCCCCACCCATTTTTTTTTGTGAAGCTAAAAAAATCAAAATGTTATAACTGAGGCTACAAAGTTCCATAAATTGTATCATACAGAGCAAATGGCTTATTGATCCATGCAGCGGTTTTAGATTAAAGACGCACAGTAAAGGTCAGCACTGGGCCTGCAGTGCCAATGCATGGAAGCCACTGTGTGGAGGGTTGGGAGGTGGAGGGTTGGGGGGGTTGAGAGTGTGGGAGGGGAGGGGGAGAGTAGCCTCTAGAGGGAAGAACCCGCTCGCTGATTTAAGAAGCCCACGAGCGTGTGTGTCGTTGAGTTAGACTGACGCAGAGGGACAAAACCCAGGACACAAGGTGTGTGTGAGTGTGTGTGTATGAATGTACTAGAGTATTCTTTGTTTGCTCAAAAAATAAATTCTCCCCTCCTCTCTGAGCGTGGAGTTATCTTGCAGTGCCAATGCATGGAAGCCACTGTGTGGAGGGTTGGGAGGTGGAGGGTTGGGGGGGTTGAGAGTGTGGGAGGGGAGGGGGAGAGTAGTGATGTTGAAGAGGGTTGTCAGAATAAATTGCTTTTAGAACAATTTCTTCTCATGGGATAAAGATCAGAGAATTCAGAAAATGCGCAGGGACTGGTCAACGTTCTCATTAGACTTAGTGTCAGCTAGTCAGTGGAGCCTCCGTGTCAACCCCAACTGCAGGCTCCAGCGGATAGAAACGACAGCCCAAAATAACGAGCATCTCACTAGGAAGTTACATTTGCAATATGCCAAATTTAAATGGGGTTGTTGGAGTAATTTGATCCAGTGGCTTTCTTCGCACATCTTCTACCCGGCGAAAGAAGGAGCTCAGTGGAGCCGAGGGGACAGTGGAAATGGCGCAGGTGAGTTACCTGGGACCTGAAGGCCTGCAGCTCGGCTTGGAGTTCAGCGATTTGTTCATCACACTTCACCAGCTGAGCTTGTGCCTGCTGTCTACTCAGAAACTCCTCTTCCGACTGGAGAGACAAACACGTGTCCAAGTGACAAACAAGTACAGGATGATAATAAATGAAACAAGGAATTCATGGAAGCAACTGTTTGATAGAATCAATATTTATTTTATATATTTTTTTAGTTATAACATATTTTATTTTTTATTCGTTTCCTGTTCGACCTCACACAAGTGTGTGTGTGCGCGCCTGTTTTAAATACTGTTTTTGCGTTGCAGTGAGATACATTTACAACAAAATATGAACCATAATATGGTAACTCTGCCTGTAGGACACAAAGACAATATCTAAAGAGATAAAGGAAGAATAAGATCTGATGCCTCACTGTTTTCCAACTGAGAAAGCGTATTTGTTGTAAATGGCAACAAATAGGCTTTTATTTACCGTTTGGAAACTGTTTGGTTTTGTTGATTGTACAATTGTAAAGTGATCAATCTGATTACTATCTCATATCCAGTAATGCTGTTTCAAATGAACAATTTTCTTGTTTTTTTTGGTAGGGAAAGAATCAAAGAGCATTTCAAAGCCATTTTCCGCTAAGTGTTCACTGCAAATGTGCAGAATGTTTGGCTCTCGAGCTACTTCTATAATCTCTCATTATTATTTACTAACACAAGCCCCCAGGAATGGTCGGAGCCATGTTTTCCCCGGTGGTAATGGTTTTGTTTTTTTTAATCTAAAAAGATATTCTTTTATGGAACAAATTAGAATGAATGCCCTAGTGGGCTGCGTTTTGGCCCGATGTAGTGGATTTGCAGAGGGATGCTTTTTAGTCAATACTTGCCTTCTGTGCCAGCTCTGAAGCTCTTTGTTCATATTCATCTGCTCGAGCTTTATCTATACACACCTCTGAAAGCAAAAAAAGCAGAATAAAAATCATTTTTGTTTCATGGAAATCCCGGTGATGTGCATGTACTGCCAGGGGTGTGAGACTTGCCCAAGAGGTGGCTGAAGTCCACATCGAGGCGCTTGCGGTAACCGAAGTCCGGGTCAGTGCCGCTACGGTGAAGCACAATTTGAGACACACACTCCTCAATGATCTTAAAGTACTGGGGCCTGAGAGTCGGGACGGGTGAGACAAGAGGACAGCAGGAAAAGACGGAGTCATTCTATTAATCTGACGTGTGAAGAGCTTTAATCTGGACAGATTGAGGCCTGAGGAGAACGAGGGCTGCAGAGGAAATGTGGCACATTCCAAGAACTTCTACAGCCAGTGCATATTAGATATCAGAGTTGGTAAAGATAACTGAGGCACGATTTTGCACACCTTTTCAGGAGTAAACAATAACCTCCCTTCAGTGCAGTCGAGAAAGCGCCATCTGCCCCTAAACAGGCCGATGGTGCGCTGCATTACAGCGCGAATACTTCCATTTGCCAAATCTTCTAAGAGCGCAAGAACAGCCTTTTCGCGTCATTACGCATTGTGATGGCATCATGGCATTTTATTCCATTTGATTGCATCTGACAAGCAACGGCTGTGTTTTGAGGACGAATTGCATAACATGTAAATATTTTTTACATGTTGTAAGACATATTTCACTTTTCTTTTTGAAAATGTGTTCATTTGTATTTCTGTTTGTTTTACGCTGCAGATCGATCAAACGGGTGTTCGTGTTATTTATGAGAGGCGGTATTGGCATTTACAACAGTCTAGTTTTACACACTTTCACAGACGTTTGCGCGTTTCTTGCATTTGCCGACGGTTCTCATTTCACCCGTTTTTGTGGGTCCGGGCTTGCGTGAAGGACCCCACATTTCTCCGTCAAGTTTGCGTTTTATAAATACCAATTATTGCGTAGAGAGCGCCGTACGCCTTCTTTTGTGCGTACGCAACGTTTATAAATGAGGCCCCAGGTCCTTCCAGAGTTATGAAAAACTCTAACAACAAAGGCCCCCACACAACAACGACGACGACAAGGGAAGGATCATAGATTGCAAAGGAAGAAAACATGAGGGAGGCTCAACACAGGACGGGAGAACAGAGAACGTGTTTCCTGGAATCAGAGATACAGGATTTATTCCATTAATAAATAAGAGGTTTCAAACATTTATGGTTGATGTTTCTTCTCTGTGGTTTTCCTGAATACAAACTTCCATTGGTAAATGCAAAAGGCGAACTGTATTGATTCTCAGCACTGTAACACAAAAGTTAAGGGTCTTTTAAAATGACTAAAACTTCTATTCGTACTTCCACCCACAGTAGAGTACAAAGACGTGTTTTCATGGTATTGAACAATGGGGAATACACACACACACACCAATTACCAGGCGCTGAGCATTTGCGGGTCAATTGTTTCAAATGACTGTCGAAGGCAATGATAACAGAATAACGAAGGGCAGGGCACAATAGGTGAGAGGAGACCTAAGAATGTGGCATCCAAAGTGCTTCATTGCAAGTTAAAAGGGGAAATATCTTTTTGATCGGCTCATTATCTTCCAAAAAATGTCGCAGTGTGTTCAAATCTATTCAACGCCAGATCATTAACTCATGCTTTGAGACTCACAAACATCGACAATCAGGGAGGCTTCCTTCCCTCGCCTCCTAAAGCAATAGACTGGATCTGACAGTATGAATACCACGTCTATAATTCAGCAGGTGAACTGAAGGAATTATTTTCTGAACGAAGATGAAACTACTAGAAATCAAATGGAATAAGGCATGTTGTCAGTGAAACTGCCAGTGTTCCTTTCATTAATAAGAGACTTTGAGAGCCGTTGCTACAAAGAGGACTTTATATATGCTTAACATCAAAGATGAAAATAATGAAATCGCTAAAGATCACTACGCCAAGTCAGTCAGGAAAGCGGCAGTGCATTAAAAGGATCACGCGAGGTACAGAGTCTTATATGTCCATGTTGAAAATCAATTATATCAAGGGTGCAGCGCTGCTGGAGGAAAGCTTTTTAAATGTAGTGTCAAAAAAAAAAAAAAAAAAAAAAAACTTGCCTGCAACATTGTATGAGGACGAGGGTGAAGATATTCCATAATCCATGGCATTAAAAGTAACCACGTGCTTGTGAAGAAAATCTAATAACTAAAGTTTTTCAAACCATAGTCCCAATTATTCCAATATGTAAAAGGATGCTGTTGTAAATGCATGTATGTTGTATCTACATAACTAAGGCTATTGGTAACCTCGTGCAAAAGAAAAAAATCTGGCATTTGTGAAAAAATACTTTTTACTTTTATTATTTTCCTATAGAAATAGAACCGTACGAAAATGCCAAGATTAAATACTTGGACAAGCGAGTTCAGATTCATGTTGGGGGGGAAAAAGTGAGATGTTTTTGACGTCCTTATCGCTGTAACGATTTTGAATATAGATGAACATAAACGGCCACAAACCCATTATAGAACAGCAAGGGAAGCTAACGTTACCTAAACCGACGACATCCTGAACCTGCAAATACTGGGTGTGTAGTCTAGATTTGCCATCTTGTTATTAACTAACTAAAATTGTATGTGTATGGAAATATTCTGATGCTGTTATTAATGCTCACTAAATAGACGGCGGCCATGGTGGCAGTCGTAACACCAATATTAACATTTCGTAATAATGTCCGATGGAAAAAAAAGGCTGGAGCGGCGCGCTGGACAGCTCAGGTGGTGATTTTGCCTCGGTGAAATGCTGCAGGGGATGCATTACATATTCTTCAGATTAGAGCTCCATCTTTTGATCAAGCCGAGGTTCAACTTGCACCATGCTGTGAGAGAACCGCCATAAAATAACCCTTTGAATGGTACCATTAATACTCGGGAGCCATAGCTGTTGCAGAGTGACTGGAGATGAAAGAGACTCTTTGTTAGCCCACGTCATTGAGTGTGCTTTAAGGCGTGAAAACCAAACATAAGCTCTTCACCAGTGTACATCATAGTTACCGGTGTTCAAAAGCTGCTCACTCTCTCACACACACACACGCGCACACACACACACACACACACCTTTGCCCGTGTGTGCACTGGGATAAGATGAGATAAAACTAAACTAAAACACGTCAGTCATGAATATTAACACACTGTTACATTACTGTATAATTCAGAGCGGAGCGTGAAGAAAATAACAGAGCTAATAAATAGCAGGGGATTAAAAAAAAAAGAAAGCCAGCCCAAATCTGGAGAGACTGAGGGGTGATTTACGGTCTGACGATGAAAAGTCAGCGAAAGACAACGCATGATTTAACACGCTGTAGATGAGAAATGTCTGGTGAGTAATGTGTGTGCTGCGGACTTTTACCTGACCAAGTAGTCATTGCGTATAAGCATCAGGTGCTGCAGTATGGAGAGGAAATAGGGCTCCGCGCTGCTGTCCTTCACCATGCTCTGCACAATACTGAACACATCCCCCACATCAGTGCAGAGAGTCAAGGACTTTTAAGAAAATATAAACAGCCTCACTTTCGCATAGAAAAAAAAGAAGAAATTACTGATATTAGTTTTTTTTTTTTTTAAAGGAAAAATTGACCTTAGCTGAATGCTTGAAGGTTTCATGTATTAGCCACATTGACATGACACAGATACTGAATTAGAAGTTAGCGTTATTCATTTCTGTTTGTAATATTGGCAAGGATATTCAAACTCGCTCTTGATGTCCTCCAGCCTGTGAGAGAACTCCAGCATGTCCTCCTCTTTGTGCTCCTCGAACACCTTTAACTGAATGTCAAGGGCCTCATTCCTGATGGTCGTCAATTGCTGTGGATGGATTACGGTAGAAACCCCCCCCCCCAAAGAAGGGAAACCAGATTAATAAAGATTATAAATACAGCAAGGAGAAAAGTTTGAGACTCTGACATTGCCACCAAAAGGGAGGCATCAAGCTTAAGTGAGGACAAGGAGTTCATAACACTATTACTGATTATGATCTACATGTGTGGGGACCAGCTCCTCGCTTTAATTTATTTGTCTTCTTGGCAGCTCCTGCAACAATGTTTACAACAGATAAATATGTTAGGTAGCTGGGATAAAAGCCAGTAGGAAGATGATTAGCCACGGCACTAGAAACTTTATTGGATTGTGGGCACTGGCACAGGCAGAGGACGTGCAAACCCTCCGCTGTGTTTCATCAATTATTTGCTGGAACAAATCTACAATATTCCACTGAGGTGGACAACTCATTTAAATATTAATACAAGGTGAGGGCAGGTTTATTTTGAGTGTGTGTGTGGTTACCGGCAATATTTCTTTCAGGCCACAGCGCATAAATTCATTTCTGATGTGCAGCCTGAAGTCCAGCTCATCAGGGGATGTTACCAGTGCATTGATGAGCTGCATGCATGCCACCTGCAGCATGAAGGACACAGAACAAAGACAGTGAGAGGAGGAAGGGGGGGGGGGGGGCAGAGAAAGAGATGACGGACTTCTTCTTGCAGAAGTTGATGAAAAACATGCCAGCATGCATTCTAAATGAGTTATGTCCCTTGGAAGCAGAGGACCATAACTAATGCATGTCTATTTTCTCCAGTCACCAACCAGTGGAGGGGGGGGGGGTATTTTAATATTAATGCAACAACTGCAGACCCATACACACAAAACTAACCAACAGTCAATTTAAGGGCAAACTGCCGCTTTTGGAAGCGTTTCTTCACTTCTCTATGAATTTGGTTTACTGCTCAAGGGCCGCCGCATCCTGTGACTCTTCAACTATCCGGGCGAACGCAGACAGAAAAATCAATTATTGATCAGTCAAGCAATCCACTGAAGTGTGAAAAGAGGGTATGGCTATGCTGGCGCCGAGCAGGGCTATTCAGATGTTTTCAGGTTCTTTGAATATTTGATGGCAAGCTGTTTTTTTTGTCATGGAACTCAAGCTAAGTTATTAGCAGCCCTTTAAAATACAATAGAGATTATTATAGCGATAGGCAGCTTGACAAAGATTCCCAAAAGCCTTTTTTTGACATGTCGCTGGGGGTGCAGTTGCCATTATTATATCTAGAGATAGTAAGAATGATTTAAATGTCCTTTTGGTTTCAGCCTACACATACTCATTCAAAGTCAAATCAATACGCAGAGAGATGTCACTTGCTGGAAACACTTAAATCAATAACACGAGACAAAGTGGAGACAAGAAGGACTGCGGGGCTTTCCATCACTTTCCGAGGGTAAAACCATATGAATGAGACGGCACAAGAGCATTTGAAGTCTGTAATTTGATCCTAGCTCGTGTTACATTTCCATCATTCAAACCGGCGTTTTCAGTCATGACAACGGTTTTAACGGTCCGTTTCCACTTATTGTGTAAAGGAATGCTTTCGCTGAGCCAGTGGAGACTGTGTGGATGTGGTCCAGTAGGACCGGGGGCCTTTGGCCACACAGTATCACGGTCAGGATGACAGTATCTATGCTTTGATAATGCATGTGACGTGAAAAGGAGACTGCACCGCATATTTGGAAGTGGAAACTAATAACAAATAGTCAATTCCTTGCTGGCTATTTTCCTCCACCCTCTTGGCGTGTCCCTGCAGTTTTGAACCTGTCAACAGTAGTTACAGCAAAGTGAAAGCAAGCGTTGTAGAGATTTGCCACAGGGTGCAAAGAAAGTATCTGCAGTTATTCAAGTTCAACCCTGGTCATTGCAGAAGTACACGAAACATCCAAAAGGAGCAAATGGTTGTGTTGGTCTTTTAGTTCATCTGGTGTGTGTGTGTGTGTGTGTGTGGTATTGGATGAATAGTAAGTCACTTCACATCCCTCAGCTACCAATTAAAAAAGCAGACAACAAACTTTTATTATGAATTACAGTATTATGACATGAACGGATGCCGCCCTCCTTTATAAGCGGCTCATGTACAATATCTTTGTGTATTCATCAGCTGGGAGACGATGCGTCTGAACAATTATGTCCATTGAGAAACAGCTGGCATGTAAAGGGAGTGCATGGGAGGATTTATTGAACTACGGTAAAGAAATTTCAAACCATAAAGTTGATTAAGAGGGGAATAGTTACAATATAGTAGCAGATGAACAAAGTTGAAGCTTCTTTATGCATTGATTAGAGCAGTGTTTCTCAAACTGTGAGGAGGGACCCTTTAGTGGGTCGCGGTGGTATTACAGGTGGGGCGCATGGGGAATGAATGGAGTCTGCAACACTGCCCAGAAAGGATTTGCTGTGGAAAGCAGCCTCATTGCAGCCATCTCACACTGATAAGACATGTTTTATCAGTATGAGATGGCTCTACATATCTGCACCACTGTTGTTTTGTTAAGCACAAGTTACACGGTATTGTTGTTATATGCATTGTAATTTATTTCCAAATATTTTAACTATTTAAACTGTATTACTATCCAGAAAAGATGTTCAGTGCCAAACAGGTTAATTACAGCCACAATAAACTTTTATATCTTTTTAGATTATATATCTGCCAAATATAATTGCACAGAGAGAACTTCATTTGATTGTTCCAACAAGATGGGAACATTTTATTGTTTTTTTCTAATGGAGCAATCTGGTTTAGTTTTTTTTTTCCATTATTCAAAAAAGCATAGATGGAGTCACCACAATTATTTTTCAATCTAAATTTAACATGTGGCATTCTTTAGGGGCGGCGGGGTATGAACATTTTTTTTCTTCCAAAGTGGGTCATGACAGATTTTAGACAATATATAAATAAACGTTTTGGACGGAGGAGACTTTTATCAGAGAGACCCTTGAGCACATGTATTAAAATAACAAAATTCATTTTAGCCATTCCGCATTTCATATTGAAGAAGTCTGAGCGAAACGACTATGTGTCAAAACCTGTGCAGCGCATGTATCTGTGCACTTACTTGTAATTGAACTGAGCGATCTCGTAGTCCCTGGACAATGGGACTGAACCTCTCCGAGGCTCGCCACTCCCCTGCTGCGGTGATTGCTTCAAGGACCTTTTCCAGACTAAATGAAAACATGAATTGCATGAGCGCACAATTGAGGGGGAGGAAGACGTACATTCATTTAAAAGGGGGACTTTGACCGTGAGCTCTGTGCCTACAGTAGGGTCGTGATAAACATTGTGATCAATAATGAATCCATTTTAATGATTAAATTTACTCCTATTCAAATACTTGCAGCAGACTGTGGTAATATCTCGTGAATACACAATAGTATATACGGAAAGCAGTTTTGTGAGTGACAGTGGCAATGATTCCCTTATTCCATATATGTAAGTCAAACACAATGTCAGCTTAGTTTCTGCATATTGTTGGCCGCTTTGTGCTTCACCCCCCACATCGTCGGCCCTGCAAAGCCTTTTGGGGTTTCAATTGACAATGACAAATAAATGAAGCGCAGTTATCGACCCCTAGCCCAGCCATCGGCAAATCGAAAGATATCGGCTTTCAAGACAACAAAAGACATGGACATGTGGACAGAATGAGTGAAGGCGCAGCATACGTGTTCTCTTCGCCCACAATGCAGATGGCTGAGAGCAGCTTCACCACGTCGGTCATCATGGCAGACTGTGAGGGATCGATGGCTCTCGCCAGTAACGCAAGACTTTTCTCCTCTCCCAGGATTCGATCCAGGCCATACTGCAGGAAACACAAACACAGAACGTCATTACCCAGATACGCTGCGCTTCTCCCCATTTGCAACAACAAGAACCCAATGTTCTGTGAAACAGAAAAGGCAAAATGACCAGATTAATTCATTTCTATTTATTAATCTTCACTCGGATTTTAGTTTGAATGATCAAACGTTTGGCAAAAGTATAGTTCCATCTTGAATGAATGCCATTCAGAAGGAAATGTGATTAAATGGCAGGGTAATCATTTACCTTATTGATTGTAGTAGTGCTTTTGTGAATTTTACCATATGAGAATAAGAAAAAAGGAAGGTCAAAACACCAGTAGGATGTCAGAGCAGTAATTCCTGCTGAACAACGAGCACATAGAGCCATTGCTTGTGCTTAATAAACATGAGATGTTTCCATTTCATTAAAATGTCCAGGACAAATAATGTGTTACCCTTAACTTCCTCTTTACTTTGCAAATAATTGGGCCGTTCTTTTAGTAATCCATCAAAAAGGTGTTTTATTTCCTTCTCTCCTTTAAAAAACAATTACAAAGCGCTTCTGTTGACCTGGAACTGACACCGGGCATTACCGGCCACTCGAATCCAACGGTCTGTTTGCTTTTTCAAACGTGTGAAGCCCACAACAAACAGGCAATGAGCTCAACAAGTCAGCACTATTCAAGGAGTTAAAATGTTTGCTTACTTTGTTAGATACATTACTATTTTCTCATCACTTTTTAGTTCTGTCCGTCACGACGTATTCACTTATCTTTATCTTTGCGTCATACATTAAATTGCTCAAAATCCAGATGGCTCGAGAGCAGAGTAATTAAACAGTGTTTAGCGGGGTTTTTTACAGAAAAAAGCCAGTGATGGCTGAATTTCCAGAAACAAAAACCAAAGATAAAGTGCGACAGCCCTCTTTCGGCGCTAAAATAAAGTCGACACAGCCGGAGAGGGATCGTCTATACACACACTCTCAATACACGCCTGACGCACCCGCTTTATCTCTTTAGAATGGTTTTGTTATACTTTGTAAAACCTGGTAGATCTTCTCCATACCACGGTTTACTTGCAGCTCAAAGCGTAAATAGAAGAGAAACTGTGTAAATGCAAAAAAACTATTCTGACTTGTATACTAATCCATATGAAATAATTGGTTTTCTTGTGGCTGTTTGGTGGTTCAAAGGGCACTTTCACCACAGGGTGGCCACTTTTAGCGAGACATTACAGCACTGATGACAGACCACAGAAAATATGCAACTGTACGACTTGATGCAGGAAGGAAAAAAAAAAGCGTTTTCACTGACAGCTGGCAGAGAACACCTGTCTTCTTGGCATTGTGGGTACATCCCATCCCAAGATGCCTCTCTAGCCAGGGAAAGGTCTGGGCTGACAGAGGCCTACGGGTAAATGCTGGCGTCTGGTGCCTGTTGAGACGCAGGATTACACGAGACCTTACAGCACACTTTGTGCCAAGGCGCCTGTACATCCGTCTCCTTTGGGTTTTAGCGCCATGTGGCAAGAATCTTTTTTTCTTTTTCTTCTCAGAGTAACTGTGGACTAACGGAATACGAGGAGGATACAGCGGAAGCTTTGTGAAATAAAGATACTACAGTGGAACATATTTTAAGCACATGTCCACTGACCTTTGGTGGAAGCACTCCATTATATGATGATACCGCTTTATTGCTTTATTTATTCTGTTGCTTAACTTAAGCAAAGTGCATGAAGAAATGGTAACTAAATAATAATAAACTTAGCTTTGAAAGGTTTTCCTGCCGTATTCGCTGTAATACAATGTAGATCAGGGGCAGGACAGCAGTGGCAGATTGTCCAATGAAAGGTTCCTACCACACAGAACCACATGACTTCTACGGGTCGGTGAGGGACCTAGTGTTGCACGGTGTATCGTACTAGAAAGGTATCGCGGTACCCATACGTTGAAAACTATACGGTTTTGAATATTTTTAGTACCGGTACTTTAAAAAAAAGCATGCAATCGGAGCGCACTCACTGTTCCGCTCAGTGTCAGGCTGCCTGCACACATTGACTACGCAGCTCTCTCACATGCAAGTTATCAGTCGCTCACAGCGAGTTATCAGGGGAGACGCGCCCTCGTGTAGCAGACTGCTCACCCATATACAGCCTAACACGATTAGCCTTAGCCTAGCTTAGCTTGGGTGACCAGACGTCCTCTTTTACCCAGACACATTTTTTAGGTCTGGAAAAGAGGAAATGTCCGGGTACAAGAGGACGTCTGCTTTGTCTTGTGTTGCACTTGTTTCATGTTTGACTGTGTTTGGAAAATTGTTGACTTGCTAGTTTGTCATAAACAAAGTAAGTTTAGCCGCTAGCAGACATCTCGTTAGCAATGTTAGCAAGCTTGTTATAAAAAGCTTGCATATTGATGCTAGTATTAAGTGCTCTCGAGTCAGCTTCTTTGTAATGTTATAGGGATACTTTTCACTAAACCTTGGAGTGAGACGTTGGGGCTGAAGCTACGGCTGACGGGGGGGTGTAAGTTACGCTACGTGCAGCGAATCGGGTTATAGATGCGCAGTTTAGATGAAGCAGCGCAGATTTTTTTTTTTTTGCGTAATAAATTGGATGTGTGGCGTGAGTGCGTGTGAAAACATGAACACGCGTGTTACATGGGGAAACGTGAGAGTTGGCAGCCCTGTAGCTTTGTTGGCTAGCTTGACAACAACTTTCCTTTATATATATAATATTCCATTATCCTATTTGTGGTATCTTAAGTATCGGGTACCGTAATATTTTGGCAGGTATAGTATCGAAGTCATAATTTTGGTATCGTGACAACCCTAGAGGGACCAGAATGTCAGTTCCAGTACTTTTGGGGTACATTTGAGTTTATTGCCATGCCCTCCTTTATAAGTCTGTTCAAAAGGTCATTATGTTGATTTTCCATCTTACGGTAATTATCTCTTTCAACACAACAGCCGTCCGTGTCCATCTATGTCCACTGACCAAACTCTGCTGTGGCCAAGAAATAATATAATGAGTACTGGGAATCAAACTAGATCCTCCCCCAAAAGTCTATTCAGCACGATCTAATGCATATAAGCATTTGTAGGGATTAGAAAAGTAGATAGTTGTATGTTTGTGTGTGTTGCAATATTCACACAACAAGCAAAACACCGAGATATGGAGACACACTGTTGTGTGATTTATGGTTTTAAATTAGCAGTGTAGTACATCGCCAAATCGAAGAACATGCAGATAACTGTGTCTCTCTCAATAGCCTCTCTTTCTCTTAAACTTTTCGTTAAGCACCGGATCCAGAGAGGGGACTTTGTGCACACCAGCAAGTTTAGATCTGTGCAAATATGTCACACAGCATCTTCCAGATTGCATCAGGACATCAGTAAAACTCCCCCCGATTGGCTCCATATTGTTTTAATGCTACTCTTCTTCTCCACTGGTCATAAACCCTTTGTAATTGAAATTCCAGGTGCCTAATTTGGTAATTGCATGAAAACACCAGATGTCGAAGAGGATGGGAATAAAATTACCCTTGGAAATCAGACTCGACGGAAAACACATACAAGTGATTTCAGAGAGATTTTTCTCCAAAGGGTAAAAGGACAAAACTAAAAAGTAGTAAAAGTGTGACGTCGGCAGAGGAACATCGGCCACCACAGCGGCCTCTTTAAGGTGTCGAGTTCATCAAATGAAAAAGACACCCACACACACACACACACACACACACACACATATATAAAATAAACTAACATTTCTCCTTATACTTGATTTCTTTCAATGAAACCAATGGGGAAGTGTGACGCCCCCGGTGTTGGGCAAATAAAACAGACTGGGCAACTTAATGTAGTGCCAAAATAAATAAAATTACCAAATAGGTCTGCTGAAAAAAAAAAAAAATGAGGGTGTCATTACCTTATTGTTCATGATGGCTTTGATACACTGGACAACTTTATGTTGATTCTTCTTGTCGAGCTTCTCTTGCCTACGGACACAAGAGAGTAATGAGGAGCGGTTGCTCTCTAAACTGCACCCTGGGGAATTAAAAGGAGCTTCAAATTGTCAAAAACAGATACAGGACTATGAATGAAGAGTTGGCAAGAGAGGCGAGAGACTATGTAGAGGCGAGTAGGGGACGTAGACTTACGGTTTCTTGGAAAGCAACCTCTCCAAAACGTCCAGCAGCAGCCCGAGACCCTCATGCCCGAAGCTCTGCACCCAACTGGAATAACAAACATCCGATCAATATCACAACAGTGCAAAACTGACAACTGACAGCAACAGCAACACTTCCACACTCATGTGCCACTGTGGAAAGCTTTAAGGCAGGAAAATACAGGAAGAATGCAGTACTTTGTGCTGAGATAAGAAGATGTACACTGACATGTTATCGCAAAGAGAAAAAGGGAAAGCACAGACTGTTACATTCATAATCATCTGTACTGTTCTGTTTAGTCCGACCTAATACTGCATTTTCGATCACCTCATCTCATCCATATCTGAGATTTACAGATCTAATGATGGCCATTTGACACACAATTAAAGCAGACACATCTGAGGAGTGGTCAGTCAATTTGACAGAAAAATACACATAGCAAGCAGGACATTTAACCGTAAAAAAAATATGATTTTAGTGTAATTTGCCCAAAGACCGAAAAAAACATAAAAACGAAATATTGTTAAAGGCCTTGACACAGTGCCATTGATCGAGGTGAAAACTGAAAATGGCGAAAAGACTAAAAATCCCAATGCAGAGTGAGGCGTTCACGGCCAGAGGGAGATGGGGGTTATACTAATGCAACACAAGTGACATTTGTGAGACGTATCATTCTCAAGGAGGTTAAGAGAGTTCACGCTGCTCCATCAAATATGCAATCGAGGATTGAATTCTCCAGCCGCCCTCTGTGTGTGTGTGTGTGTGTGTGCGTGCGTGTAAGCTGATTTAAGGCACATTTTATGCAGCAGGTGCCTTTGATGGATCCCAGGGACCGCTGCCGGTTAATAAAAGAAGTACTATCTGGAGCTCGGGACACACACACAATATACACGTTTACTTTCCTTGAAAAGGGGCACATTTCTTTGATAAAGGGAGACGTTTGAATAAGACAACGGCGGGTGAGTCTACACAGCTAATCAAACTAATTCCTATTGCTGGTGCTGGTCAGAACGTCGGCCAGGGAGAGTTTGGCCTTTTCCAGGTGCATCCATAGAAAAAGGTCAGCATGCCTCGATTCTGGAAGAACTGCCACAAGTAGAAACACGGAAGCGAGGTTATGTACAGATGTGACGTGGACAGCAGCAACCTTAAAATGACTAGCACATTAAATCAAAAAATATGCTACATTTTCTGTTGTGCGACAGTATGACGACATCTTGATATGGGTTTTTAATTAAAGTTGCACAGCAATTTTCTTGTTGGCTCTGATCACCCCAAGGCTCCTCTTGTTAGGAGGTTGTACTGAACTCTGGCCTTGGCTACAGAGAGAGATCGGGACTGATAGCATAACACAAGCAATGTAACCCTTAATTATAACTAATCCAATTTGGATTCAATCAAAGCTGAATGACAATCCAGATAAAAACAGTAACTATTTATTGTCACTGAGAAATCTGGAGATCCAAAATTTTCTTTACCCAAAAGGCAACGGGACAACGCGACGACTTGAAAAGAACTGAGAGTTTGCAGCTTTGATTCAAATAACAGGAATGAATACATTGTTTAGGAAAAACCCTTTAGGATACACACAAAACACAGACAACAACGGCATGAGTGAGATTGGGAGCGACTGCGCCTCCTCTCATGAGTGAAACTGAATAACCTCAGTGAACATTAGCATTCAGTGCTTGTGCGTCCTAATCAACAAGCTGCATGCCTCCCAGCAGCAAATCTACAGAAACTCTCAACATTAAATGAAATTGAATGACAACATTAAATGAATTGAATGTCTTTAAAAAGGTTGTTTAATCATTGTATGATCAAACAGATGGAATGATATGTTCACACCTTGAATTATCACAGGTGCTGGCTGATTTACATTCTTTATCTGCAGGATTAAAAAAATAAAACAAGGAGACGCTGCACTTTTAAAAAAAAATATTTTTTTAAAGGGTAGTAGATTTAAAGATAAATCACAGGAATTGTGACTGAATGCTGCGAGGGGTCGATTCATTTAGACTGAAAAGACGACCATTGGACCCCTGCAGACAGACAAGACAATCTTGTACACAGACTTAGAACGATGCACATGCAGCAAACACCTTGATTTAGGCGTATACAATATTAGTAAAAGGTTAGACCTTTTTTTTTTTTTTTTTTTTTTTTTTTAAATGACCACGGCTTCATTCCTACATGACCTCAGCTGCTATGTAACCCTTATTCGGAGGGTAGGTCCCTGCATCATCGAGGTGTGTGACTGCCTCCATTATTTTATTGAGCCTAACAAAACAACAACAAAAAACATTCTGATGAAGACAGGGACGGCTGCCGCCAAGGTAGCATCAAGGCTCTCGTGATTGAGGGGAATGAAATGAATGGCTTGTCCCCCCACCGTGGCCCTGGCCGTCCTGGTTATAGAGTAGGCGAGGAGAGGGTCTTGACACGAGCTGCATTGAAATGCATAACTCAGCGGCCGCTGCATGCTAGCTTTTCTTCATCAGTAGCCGAGGCAGGGAGCAAAGGAAAATAACCAGTTGATCTATAACGCAGGAAGCCAACAGGCCTGTAGTGCCAGGGTCTGATGCAACAAATTTGGAAGACATCTGCCTTGAAAGAGGCAGTGTTTTCAAAGGCTTAAAAAAAAAGTACACAGAGTGTGGCAATTTGATAGCTGTCCAAAACACGCAGAGAAAAGTCTCATCTTGAGGAGCGAGGACAATCAGGCAGAGGCAATAACGTACCCAACAAATGCGTCTCCGTCATGGCTGAAGGTCAGGAGGCGGAGCGGGGAGAAGACGGATAAAGACGACTCCCGTGTGCCGACGGACGTCGTGCAATTCTATTGTTCTTTAACATCCCGCTAACTCGCATAACCTTTTTTTCTTAGAGCTGAAACTGAAACTGCTCAATTCAGCGGCTGCAGGCGCTCAAACCAAGCACAGAGACCCGGGTCAGTTTGGTCCGGACACAATGACATCAAGTTTATTGTACTCAAAAGAAATAAGGAGTATTTAGAGTGAGAAAACCAATTGTCTGAACAGAAAGAGTAGGACATAGTTTTTCTGTTCAGTCCTCATGGGTTAAGTTTTTGCCACAACATTTAATATACTTAACATACCTACCCCTGACGACGAGGGTTCAATAGTTACAGCTGTCATCTGTTAACTTTTCATTCCTCATGATTAATTGGTGTGTTAATACATCGAGCATAACGTGTCCATATAACAATCTAAAGATATAACTAATGGAATCATAAAAATAAGGCTGAAATGTTCTAAGATCCTAAGACAGTGGTAATATTAATTTAGTCACAAGTGCTTTGCATTGACATGTGGCCTGTCTAGACTCTAAAGTAATTAGTATTTTAAATTCTGTTTTGCTGATCTAGCGTGCTTTGGCAGCCCTTGGGTTTCATTAGTACGTAACATCTGGCACCCCTCCCACATCCCAAATGACAAACTTTAATCAGCCTCTGCCCGAATGTCCTCAATGTTTGGAGCCGCTTTGTGTAAAAGTGATCCGAAAACCCTTTGCTCGGCCTTGCTTTGCTCAAGGAGCTTCGTGTTCCGGTCGTGGAGCATCATACAGATGGATGGAAGGAGATAGACAGATACATAGAGCCATGGCCTGGGCCCTTCAATGCTCCCGCAGGTCACAGAGCAGATCTAAAAATGCTGCTTTCACACCCGCAGCAAAAGCTTGAGTGGCCTCTTCTTTCAAATTTCTCACAAACATACGAGTCCATCGGTGCACATTCACTAAGAAGCGAACGATGGAGCATCTGTATTATGTTTTCAGTATCTAAGTGGGTAATAGACAAATTGGTTTTAATTGTTGCAAAACTCCCATAGTCCGACCCCGGCTTTGCATCAACCTGTGGTGATCTCATCCACACTTCTTAATCCAGCAGACGAGCCATGACTGCCTCTGTTTATTTTACGCAGTAAAACCACCAATGAGAACAACAAACTACAGTTCTGAACAATTTTTGCCTCAATATTAAGATGCTGATGGACAGTGTGTTAGCATTTGTTCATCACTCATGAATCGTGCTACCTTAGATCTTCCATGACTTTGGGGGAAAATATCCCATGTAATCCCAACATGTGGATACTGTAATTATTGCTCAGTCAGGGTTGGAGAGATATTATAATCACACCACCAACAGTTTCTAAAGAAGCACAGCAGCATGCGACAGAGTGCGATCGTCGTAGAGAGACACCAGGTAACACAGCGAGGGAGAGAGCATTCAAAAATAAGGAAAACTAATTCATCATTCCATTCCCCCGGAAACAAAAACAGTCATAAATCAAAGAGAAAGAAGAGCCTCTTTATCTGGCCAACTTCACAGCTAAGGTGGCTTGACTTCTAATGGAGTCTCAGGAGAACGTCTCCAAGGCAGAGCAGCACGGCGATGCACTCCACTAAAGCCACTATGAACCACCAAGGAAAACAAGAAAACAGACTTAAAAATAATGTCCCATGTATAGTTAACAGACTACAAGACTGAGTCACAGTGATGCAGAACATCTGAAAAATAGTGGGGCTCACTCACTCATTTAGTGAGCAGTTACTGTTACAAAAAATAAAACGTGCTTTTAAATACATTAATACATTTTTTTTTTTTTAAATGTTTCAAAATAGTGCAAAGATTTGTTTCAATAATTAAAGTTAAAATCGGCTTTCCTAAATTAAAAGAATATCAGGGTACTAAGCATTGTTTATTAGCACTTTTTTTTTATCGACATGATCTCGCACAGTTGGTGTTAATATTATATCATGAAAATATTTACCGGAAAATTAAATACAACAGTAATATCCCTTTGGTTGGTCATTTTGTACACCTGTACAGCCTGTGAGATGCATGTAAAAGGTGCCCTACCTCATGGTATTGATGATAAAAAAATAAAGATTGTAATTACGGCCCTCATAACCTAACCCTTGACATGAATAGGAAATAAAACATGTGCGTTGTCCCTTGTAGCTCTGTGTGCGTACACTTCATAGGGGTCGGCTGCATGAGAGAAAAGCCTCCGAGGTATATTAAAAAACACTGGCGTAAGGAGGAGGGACGTTAAACTGAAAACAAATAAATAAATCTGGAACCCTAAACCTGAAGGTCAGCTTTAATATAAAATCAAAAACCAATTTCCACTTGTTGTCAGATCCATTCATCAAATGCATTTAATACAATTACCTCCTGTAGCCTTGCTGCTCCTGTGGGCCAGCGCGGGTGGCCTCACTTTACCAAAAGGCAGCGAGAGCCTGAGCAGCGTAGGCGGGGTAAAGGGCCAACGGGGGTCAGCGCCGAGCGTCACAGGACGCCGTGGAGCAAATTACCTCCATGTCTGAACCTGATGAGGGAGCGCGCGAGTCAGTCAGCCTTTATCCGACAGCGCCAGATGGAGGCGAGCGGGAGATGTTTGCATCCAACGCGCAGAGAAAAAGGGGACAGCAAGCGGCGTCCGCAAAAAAACAAATGCCTTCGTCCCCAAATGAATCCAAAAACTCAGGATTGTGGTGCGGTCAGATAGCAAACGGGGGGCTGCCGGCCAAACGATTCCTAGCCAGCGTGGATTCATGAGCGAGCCAGACCGTGCCAGTATGCATAAGACCGACTGTCCATTTCATTAGTGGGGACTGGATCAAAAAGCGGGCGGTCACGGGCCACGTTCTCTCTGAGGCACAGGTCAGGGTCCCATAAGCAGTAGTGGGTACGCACACATCACGGTTTAATGTGTCGCAGCCAATCAAATGTTATTCATACGTCATATACACATTTTTGTTTTGATGTTAGCAAGTCACAGTTGTTGTCTTTACACTCATTTCTCACCTAATTTCTTCAACAGTACATTTTAAACACTTCCTCCCATAGTTCAGCAATAACTAGTTTATATGATCACTTGCCTCAATTTCATATGGAACAGTTTCCCCCACCAGTACATCACTATATTTCGCTGACGGACCTAAAAAAGGCCTTAATTCACATGTTTTATCAATCGGTACCAAGGTGTGGTTGCTTCTATTTTCATCCATTTGTGGCAATTCACTCGTAGGAAAATCTATTTTATTCATACAGCGGTGGGGAAAAACAGCGATTGTGGCTTTCATGATAAAAGTGAAAACGGCTCAGTGAAATTAGCGCAGCATCTTATCCCAGAAGTGACAGGCTCGGCTTTTCAGACGCAACTGGAACTTCCATCATTCCATGTGTAAAGCAGTAGCTACAGTGGTTATTCAGCTCGGTCCTGCGTCATCACCATTTCTCAGTAACAGAAATGTGTCCAACCCAAACCCTTTAATTGTGTAAAAGTTTTGATCCAGTTCCTGTTGAATTTCCTTTTAACCTATTAGGAAATTAAGAGGTTTCCATGTTTGAACCGGCCAAAATAAATTCTCAGTTGATTTTTGTTTTTTCTTCATTTCTGCAAACTTTTCATCAATCTGCCTTCCAATCTCCAGCAGAGAGGCTCTTTTCTTTCAGTTTGGCCAAAAGCGTCAGATTTGGTGCTGACGGTCTGTTGCCTTGTTGCCTTCTGCTTTCACAGCGTATTCATCTACTGATTTCTCAAGGGTGCAAATGTATCCCACACCAGCCCTGATCTTTTTCAAATCCTCCCGGTTATCAGCGAGGGCCTCTCTTTTGAGGTCATCATGATGCTGCTCTCTCGTTCTCATCTTGCCATCCAGGTAGCCACAGTGCTTCTGTCTGCCCCCTGCGGCTAAAAGGAGTCTCTCGGTGATCTCTACTGTGGTTATGCCCTCAACCGATCTGACCTGGTCAACGGGGAGCCACTGGGCCACCAGGGACTTTTCCTTCCATCAATTGTGAGTATATTTCAGGGCAATCAAGACTTCTGTCCAATCTTTATCTCCGAGGGGACCCGAGTTGGTTCCTGGTGGCAGCAGGTGTCCCCACATTGGTACAAAAGCCAATGATGAGAGTAACTTGATTAAAAACAACTTTTAGCATAGCTAGCACTGCCTCTCCCACGCTCAAATTATAAATGTATAGATTTTTAGAGCTGTTCCACATACTGGTGATGATTTCAGGGCATTGTACTCAAGTTGGCTCGGAAAAGGCTTTACCTCACAAAGCTATTATGCACTACAATGTTAGATTGTCTTTGGAAATAGCTATTTGGATATAGCATACAAAGCCTGTGTTGAACAGAAAGATATCTGTATCAGTAGTTATGAAAATGGAAAAAGGCATATATCTGTGTGTGATTAAATGTTTGAGCTCAGACTGACAGCACTTAAATTGGCTCTGGCAGAGTAAATGTTAATCCGAAACAAACTTGCAAATCCTTAACCTCAGCCGAGCCCGAAGCAACAATCTAAATCAAAGAAAGGTTGACAACCAAGACAGGACTGCCAGGGATCTGTCATCAACGTAGCTTAGATGGGACCAAAAGGAACCCAGAACCCCCCCAAGCGCAGACAGATTTAGTTTGCACTGGCAACAAATGTACCTTCACAAGACTAGCCGTCCTACCACAAACAATACCATACTCCAGATGTACACACTAGTGCATAAGCGGTTATCCCGCTCTAAAAAATGTGCAATTATAAAATGGTTACATCCGGAATTTTGGCCAAAATAATAATTATGGAATTCTTTTTGAATGTCTGTACACATATTAATTCATTTCCATTGTAATAGAAGTAAAGAAAAAGCCTGGGTAAAAAAATGCATCTTATAAGATTGTACATGTGGCATGTGAGGAGGAGGAGGGGGAGGGGGCATGTAGCTTGTCATATTTCTATCATATAAGCATTTGGACAGAAACTAACACATGGCATGCAACCCTTCAGGACTACTTATGGATAGTTATTGCTGCGTTATTGGGTTGGACTTAATTGGTTGGCATAGAAGTTGATCATAATGTTCCCACACAGATACTGCACCATTTTGACCTACTGTACAGAAATAGAGAATTGATGTCATTTGTTCTTGCTAAAAGGAAGCTGACGGCTGGAGCAGTACTTAGGCGTGAATGCCCACTGCGCTTGTTCCATGATCAGCAAAAACAAAAGAAAAATGCTTCTGAGAAGAAATTGATGATTATGAGAAAAGATAGACGAGTCCCAACCTACGCTAGACTTTGTCAGCATCGGCCCTACGAGGTTCGAGGTTTTAAACCCGTGGAAGGCAAGTTGAGCCATTCTTAACCCATGAAAAGTTTAACCTCCAAATTTAAACATCATACCTCCCGGTACGGACACACATAATTTAGTTTACAGCTTAAAAATGATTTTGAAGTATACAGTATCTCTTTAGTAAAACAAGACACACAGTGGTGATGCCATCCACTTGTATTTAGACTGTTTATTACTATTGTTAACCAGATAAAAGAAGTGAGCCTCGTCACAGTCTTGCACGTTACCTGACAGGGTTGCTGGTAAGAGACACTCGCAGTGAATCGAGACAGGCAAACAGGCGTTCATCCATCACCCCCGACTTCAGCTCTCCCAGGAACTCCTGGGGAGATATCTGGTGGCTGCTTCTCAAGCTGCCCTGGAAAAATGTTAGGGTGAAAGAATCTATTTAGTGCAGCCGGGGAGAAAAAGTGATCAACAACAACATAAAGGCCCAAAGGTCAGACTAGTCCACCACAGGCTTCAACGAGTACAAATAGGCCAAACTGCCCACGGATTTTCTTTCAAGCACCATGTACCGGTTTCTTTATGCAGTCAAAAAAATCAATTTGACTCCAGCCCACTTCAACAAATTTCATTTTGAGAAGCAGAAGTGTGTGTGCATGCATTTTTTCCAGCATGTTTCTTTCACTTCTTGGCAATGCAGCGTTCAGGTTTTAACAAAATGGAACTCTCTTTGCAAAGGGTTATTAAATCTGTACAGTAATGTTGTTTGAACCATTCATTCTACAAAAAAAAAAAAAAAAAGTGGCATGATACAAAAACCGACAACTTTTGGCCAATGTTCGGTTGGGTATTTAGAACAAATAGTTAAGTGAAAGAAACTATGAATGACAAGAAACAAATTATTGAGGCAATACGATAACATGATGGTTCAATCAAGGCACAAAACATCAGACCTTTGGCCGTTTTATCTCTTCAGTGACATTCAGTAAAAATATCTGTTGCAAAAGGGTTGAACAATCCTCAAATAGGCAGAATAATCAATAGATGAAATCTTCAACTTCTTTTTGGGGTCTTAAATGAATTTGTATCACTAACGCAAGTAGAAACCAGCCTCCCGATTTGAAAATGACATCACTTACAACAGCCAATTAATTAAATGCGTATATGATGGCGTATTCACTGCTTCTATAAACACGATGCCAATCAACCAACAGAGGCTCAAATATACTGCGATGGTCTAGGTAGGCATAAAAAGATCAAAAATAAAATGAAAACACACAGCTTCTGGATGCACATGTAAAAGGGAGGGAAGTTGTTTTCTACGTGAGGTGAATCTGGGCTGAAGTTTGAGGGCAAAAAAAAAAAAACTTTCATTGAAATATAAATAAATAAATACTAGTCTGTCTAAAGACGGAAAGTTCAAAATAATTTAAAAATAGAACCTCATAAGTGTTATTTTGAGTACTACATTTGAAGTAAAACTGACATTTAGTAAACTGAAGGTTTTTGACCATGTCGTTTTCCAAGGCTTTAAGATTAAATATTGTTTTCTTTAATATCAGGGTCTCTTAATTAGATTCCAAACCTCAAAATCTCCAACCCCAAAAAGGACACCCGAGCCAAATGGCACAAGGAACAAACACTTTCATATTGGTTCAATATGCTGTCGGACTGAAATAACAGTAATTAACTGATGAAGTTTGCATCAAATGAAATTTGTGCAGAAAATAAACCACTATTTATTTGTATTTGGAGAAACAGCCGATGTTTAATACCAATATACAGACGACAGACTGGTGAATATAGCTGCACATTTTATAGTCCAGGAAAACAGGAGCAGGACAAATAAAGCGAAAGATTTCCTGCATTTGTCATTGAGTGGTGGGCTGGAGAGAAAGTTCCACTTCTTTGGTTCATCAAGACAGCTGCACTAGTGCCAAAACGTCCCATATCGTTGGGTCCATTTGTTCATTCATCAAAGGCCTCAGAATTCCGCTTGGATCACTACCAGCAGGAATAAATAATCCCAGACTAACCAAAGATGCCAGAACAATGGAACTAAGCACAGGACGACGCTCCACTGACACCTAAAGACAAAAACAACGAGATCCTCAAAACAAGGTAAATATTAAAAAAAACTTCATAAATCGTGCAAAAGCAACGCTCATCATCATTCATCAAAGGATCTGTGATTGATTACGAGCAGCTCTATAGTCGTAGCAAAGGGACCTGATCACGTGTGTGCAATTAAAGCAAAAAAGATAGACATTAATGGTGATCATTTCATTTTCCCTTCTTTCAAACGGTTAATTATAAACATTGTGGTTTTCAAAAAGCACTCAGTGGTCAGCATACTCTGTGGGCATTACAGCTATTAGTTTGTTTGTCTTTCAGTGATCAGATTCTTCAAAAATCAATCACTTTAATTGAGGTCTCAGCCACAATTGGAAGTCGGGGAGCCAGTAGTCCACAATTTATAGTCGATCAATGTTGGGACAGCCAATGTTTTTTTTTTTTTAATTCGAGCTGATTAAAAGTCTCTGAGGTTCGCTAGAACTCCATCCTGAGAAAGTCAGAGGGGAAACTGAGCTCCAGTCTGGCTGGTTCGTGCAACACAACATCTGGACGACATCCACCAGTCAAATCAGCTTTGGCTGAACTTCAGGAAGCAGTTTTGCAGGATGACATTTCTTCATAGGTGGGAAAGAGAATAATTATAGCTACCAAGTACCAGAGTAGAGGCAGTTGTTTCGTACACGCGTAAAACAGTCTCCTACACAGCAGGGAAACCAGTCCACACAGTGGGATCCCGAACACGTAGAACCATTTAGGTTATTTCAGGACGACGACAGCGGCTTCACAAAACACAGCGACGATGTCGGCTAGGAACACACACACACACATCCCTTTGAATGCCGTATTAGAAGACGTCTGGTTGTTCAGGTCTGTAAAGGAATGCGTTTTCATGGCTGAAGCAAGAGAAATGAGTCCACCGAGCCAAAGTTCTGTTTTACATTTTAAAAGGTTTCGTAACATCAGTGTGTGTGCGGCTGAGAGTTGGGACTATGTGACTGAAGATTTCAGTGTGACCGTAGCAGCTGGTTGTGTGTACCGTTAAGGACAGTTGGCACTGATTTAACAAATCCTCAATAGCCGAGCGCCTGTTGCTTTCTGACCTCGTCCTTGAGGACTTTTGGAAGGTTGCAACAGGTCACTTGTTATTGTGACCTGTCTTCATGCTGAATGACTCATTTACAATAAACATACGTCCACGTCTTGTGCACATGCAGCCTTAAGTCTGCCTAATGCATCTTAAAACTTACTCGAACTACTGACATGAGAGAGATACTGCATCTACATGCTCGTCAAAACTTCCCTCTTAGAATTTATAATTTACCACCACTTGTGTAAATGAGGCAAGTGTTGTTTTGACACATTTCAAATGTGTTGCCTTTTGGCCACTGGCGTTTTACCATGCAGGTAAACAAATAAAAGGCCATACAAACAGGCCTGTCCCCATGGTAACTAAAGACAGAATGCCTCAGGCAACTTGAGGGGTGTCTGATTACAACAAATATAATAAATGCTACCCTACTTTGCAAGACGCCGTGCCAAAAGTTAGAAAAACAAACATGTAAAGGATAATCTCAGCTGTCAGCAAACAGCGTGCGTTTAGATACGTTGCATAAATCAACAGTTGAATTCAGTTAGTATTTGCCATCAGAAGGAGGTTATTCTAAAGTCAGTTACATGAAATCCATTTTTAAAAAGGCCTCAGGGAGGCTGTTTTCATTATCTTTAAGTAAGTACCACAGACTGAAATCATATTAGCTATGAACACACTCTTGGGTAAATATTTAATGGAGTATAACTTGCAAATTGTGGGATTGTAGTTTTAAGGTTCAGCGGAAACAATGTAGAATGGTCCATAGTTTCAATGTCGTTTTTCTCTGAACACCAACAGTCGTATCGGCCTTTATCATCAAGATCTGTTTGACTTCTTTGAGGCCAAGTGAAAGCATAGCTTTGGGTTTAGCGGTCAGAAATATAATGCATGTAATTTTACGTAGTTTTTTGATGCACTTGTTTATTGGTCGTTGTGCAGCATGCGGTTTAATTTGCACTCAGTAGGAAACATGTTTACGTAATATGCTTCACCGGGACATTGACATTTTTTTGAAGTAGTGTTATATTGTCTTCTAAAAGATCAACAATTTAAGACAAAGTGCTCATTGAAGAATACTTCTTGTTTTTAAGTGTTGTCACTCCCCTCTTGGTTGTGTGCAGCCACTGAGGTACGTTACTTCATATATAATTGTGTACATTATGTTTGTATGAACACATTCGTATGATGTTAGCTTGAAGCTTGTCAAAAGGTGTTTGTTAGGCGGTGGACGCTGAGGTGGATAAAGAGATGTCCATAAGTGGAATAAATCCACCCATAACGATTTGTGGTCTCATGTATTTCCTGGAGGTAAGGATACTCGGCATTCAGCATTTTATTTTGAAGGAGGACCAATCATCAAAGCAAACTCACAAAATCCAATCAATTATTTTCCAGTCATCAAAACTGTTATTACGAATTAATATCAAACCTCATCCATGTGTGCGCTACTGAAAAGCATCAACTTTTTTCGTAATGCCTTATCAACCAAAAGCAGCAGCAATCATCAGCGCTGAAAACCAATTTCAACACATCACCGAATGTGACCAAACGATAGGCAACAACTCAAAAACTGACAAAACGTACCGTTTTAGAGGCAGTAAAAATATACCGGATGACCATTTCTCTCTTGGTGTTGAGGTCCTTCTCTCTCAAAGGAGTCTTTTTTTCCTCGCTGAGGTTCATGTCCTCCTGAAATGAGAAGGAACGAAAACAGGGCATACGTTTTGAGACATTTTAATCTAATCCAATCAAAATGGAATTTGTTTGTTTACATTTTAGCAGCACCTCTAGCTAAAACATTGGAATTAGTGTTCCCACTGCGTATTTATTATACTACACTTCTGCAACATTAGATTTGTTTTTGAAGAATCAAGATTGCTTTACGATCAAATTCATTTTGTTTGGATTTAGTTAAGATTTGTAAAATTGGCCAAAACATAAAGCTGGATATTTGAAAACAAAATGGGTTTTATTTTAACAGCAAATTAGAAATGAATGTGCACAATAGAACTATTTAAAAAAGGAGTGGCAGCAAATTATTGATTTCCAAATGTAAACGTAAACGTAAAATGTAATGTGTAAACAGTATTATGTAAAGTCATCTATTGGCTCATGTGTGTTTTCCTTCCATAAAAAAGGACATACTTCATCCCCAACGAGTGAAAACGAGTTGAAGTCATCGCTTTGGCTTTCAGCGATATGAAATGTCCTCAAAGCAGAAAAGCCCAAAAGGTCTTGAAGGGTCAAATCTAAATCAAGGAGTGTGCGAGAAGTTGACCGTACAACAGGCTAGAAGAAAGTCTTTAATAACAGCCATTACTATGCTGGAAGGCTGAATAGGTTTTCTGTTTCACCAAAATAAAGAACTACATTTTTTAAAGTTTAGCTTATTCACTGATGTTCTGCATTGTCATTTAAATGTGTCAAAACATTGAAAAGATGAATTTCAGAAACATACACGCAGAGCCTGTTACATTCAGCGTTTGATCGAAAAACTTCATCTCGACTTTGGTTCCCCTTGCGTCACATGTACGTTGCACACGTCACGCTACCCTATTGTTCATCTATGAACCTTCGCTGATACTGTAGAATTAATGAACACACCATCATCTTTTCAAACAGTGCCAAGATCTCCTTCTCGGAGGTGATCTTTGACGAGAGCTCCTCAAACTGGTGCGAGGTGGACGATGAGGAAGTGGAGCGGTCACTCGTGCTGTGCTTCGCCTGCGATAAGGCCGGCCGCTCCTTTTTACTCCCGGGGATCCGAATGCTGGCGAATCGGTCCAGCTGTGTACACAATGGAGGGAAAACACAGTTAGAAAAGGGGGGGGGGGGGGGGGGGGATACGCAAGGATCGTCAGTCAAGAAACATTGAATACGTTATAACATATATTGACGAGGTCATTAGTCAGTACAGAGCGGACAAACATCAGCCTATTAGTGAGTTAGAAAAACATCGCTATTAGTGCGAGCAGAGCACATGCGCTCAACGGAGCGTCTGTTTAACACATGTTGAGGTAAGCGCTGTCTAGATAACACGTAGACATTAGTAACTCTGAGATTGGATGAACCCAATGAAGATCCAAATCCCATGAAACTCAAAATAAGCACATTAGAGGACTTTTAGTAGAGCGGTGTTAGACAAACAAGGACAAAGCCAATCTTACCACATCGTCTGTGATACTCCTAAATGGTAGGTTCTACGGGTGGGACGGGGGCGACACAGAAAACAACAAAATCAGAACACGTGTAGTAAAAGTGTCTTAACCTCAGACATTTATGAACAGATATCAGTATATATGGTCAGTATATAACACACTATAATGCGCATCTGAGGTTTTTCCTCAATGCAACATTTAGGAGAGATGATTCCACTCATTTATCAAAAGACAGACTTGAATAGGACTGACATCTGAAGTGGATATTCCATTAGTACGACTTCACCAGGGCTCCTTTACATCGTAGAGTTGAACCTGCTGCGATGTCGCGGTAGAGTGCTTCGCCCATCGAGGCTGCGATGGACCCAGCGTACGCCGGCCTGAACAAAGCCCAAACCTCCACCAGCCGGTGCAGTCCCCCCCAGAGCACAATGGGCGCCGCTAGAGCTTCCAGAACAAAACAAAAACCCTTTGGCGGCGCCTAGCAGTGTGCTCCAGCAGATTATTGAACGTACGCGGATGTGTCTGACACCAAATGGCGTGTTAATGAAACATCAGCACCAACCGTTCAAGCGAGGGCTCGAACACGGCTAGTCTTGAAACAACAAAAGGATGCATTTGTGAAGCCAGAGAGGAGATTGGCACCGGGCTTCTTGTTATCTGCGCGTAGCAGCTACCTCGGCGCCTGCCGAGCAACTTCTGCCTGCTGCCTTTTTTCTGCTCTAGCTGTTTTTGTTTGTTTGTCATCTTCTTTTTCACCGTAGACGTCTTGGGAAAGTTGCCATCTGTATTTCAAACAGGTGTAACGGAGCAAAGAGAGTCCAAAGGAATTATCCTAATAAGGGAAGGGAAGTCAATACAGAACATGTTTAATTTCAAAAAGCTGTCAGATTGAAACGCTGAATGAAAAACTGGAACTGGAAAGGTTAGCTTTGCCTTCCAAGCGCAACAGCAGATCGTACAGAACCTCAGAGAAATAAATCAATAGACACCAGTGTTTAATTAAATAAAATTGCCCGGCATAAAATGTGTCAACCTGTCAATGAGCCGTCACCCTAATGAGTGCTTTGAGATTAACATCATAGCAGTTTTTTTCCAAAAATGCTTCTGGAAAAGAAACAGACTGAAAGATGACAAGAGGAAATATTAATAATATGTTAGAGGCCAATGTGTCTGAAATGAAGTTGAATTGAATTACTAAAATGACCCACCACAGGCCAAATATAGGAATTATTTTGTCTCCACTGATGAGCTTGACAATTGGTCAAACTAATTGGACACAGCTGTCAAACTTTTCCCTCACATACCAACAGCTTGACAGTTCATGCCATGGTGAGCAGAAGTGGAAGAGCACCAACAACAGCAAGACAACCCCCAGCAGTGAAAACTGGACTGGGGGGCGGGGGAACATTTATTTATAAATCGTAGTATGCAGACTTAATTATTGGAAATTTCAATCTCAATTCTTAACGTTAGAAGCCAACAAGCGGAAGAACTTCACTTCTTCTGCTGAACTGTAAAATGGGGAAGCAAATCGGTCATTCTCAGCACGTGAGAATCAATGCTTTGGCGCCGTTTAGACTTATTTGGAACCGACATATGGAGTTCATCAACGTCACACTCGGGTGAGATCAGTGAGGAAAGCAGGTCGGACAGAAGTAACATCCACCTCAGAACAGTATGGGTTGGGTACCAAAACCAGTACCTATACCGCACCGCAACAGATTTTGGCGCCTGACCTGAAATACTTTTTTTCGCTGATGACTCCGTCCTCGCAGCACAGCTACCGTTTGTGTAGCTACAGTAGCTCGCCAGCCATCTGCCCTCTATCTATATTCATTCAAGCCAGTGCTTTCCCCTTTGCTATTTAAGTCTGGGACACACGCAGACACACAGGTGAGCGCTTGCCCACCAGCGGACACAGAGCGTGCGTCCAACTTTACTATACTCTTCCAAAAGCTAAAAAAAAAACAATAAAAAAAACAGGGTGAAGCAGTGTTCCTTCGGTGCCGCATTGAGCTGCAGCGCCAGTGGCGTCATTTCCTCACGTGAATGACAAGTATGGGTTTTATGCCGATATCTAAAAAAAATACAAACGATCCCCAGTGCTTCTCACAACTGAATGGTTGAACCACAGAAACCAACAGCGAGAGAAAGCCGCCCTCGTCAGCGTCCCTCAACAATTTAACTTCTAATTGTTATTCAAGGACTTTGTTAATTAGTTCTGTTAAGTCAACTTACGGGGAGCGATGTCCTGAATAGTAAATACAACCAAACTTTTTCCTACAGGAATAATCGCATGGGACATAGAAATGACAAATATAAAATGAATGCTGAGACATGCCGAGTCTTAGCCAAGCTAAGGGAACCACAGGTGTCTTTCCGAGGGCCGTCACAGGGTCGCAGCGCGAAGTTGTCCAGTCGAAGGACAAACAGACCTGGGCACAAGGGCGGAGTAAACACCATCGCTGCAGAGGGGTCACATGGCTCGGCGTATAGGGAACATAAAGAAAAAGGACCAATGGGTGCTATTTGAATTATTTGCATTTTTGTTTTAAAATTGCAATTTGTAGGTAGTAAAATTCTTTTGTTTTTCTCTGAATTGATTCATTGTTCATCGTTCAATGACAGACAGGATTTTCAACATCGCACTATGGCAAACCTTCACAACAGTCAATTGTAAATATCAGCAAATCTACTTTCCGCTGTCGCCCTGTTCATTTAATGAAACTGATAACATCTTATTCAATTAAGTGAGACAACTCTGCGAAGAGAACAGGCACAACCCCAAACAACTTTAAAGTCAGCACTCTTTATTCCTAGTGTTGTGTCTGTGAACTTATTTTTTCATAAATCGGCGCAATAGCAAATTCTCATTACAACGCTAAATGGACTTCTATAAAAGGTCTCTGGTGCAATAGTGTGCCACCATCTCAGTTACCAGTATTAAAAAACAGAAGATTTATATGAACTTCTCCTGCAGAAATCATGTTATAAATGACATTTTTCTGCATTATCTCAAAAGGCAGGTAGTGTATAAAAAAGCCACTTAGCAAAGTAAATTTTACCACATGAAAGTCATAGAGAATTTGCATTGGTGGAAAAATAATGTCAACCACCATAAATGCTGATTAAATACTCTGCATCCATGACTCCATCTTGCCCGGGACCAGGCTTTGGTGCATCAAATTTGTCTCCATTTCAATGTTCAGCGCTAACATGACATATCTTTCAGGTCTTCTGTTTTTTTACCCTCCTCTTTTTAATTTTTTATGAAGATGAAGAGTGCTACTTTTTTCCCCTCCATTTTCTTTCTTGCTGTGATGAAAGGTTTAAGGTAATTGAAAGGGTAAATGCCGTGTCTCAATCATGCTAAATCCATTACGAGTTAACCATTTCAGCACCAACATTCAGTAATATTGCCCTACAACACTAAAAAATAAATCTCCAAAAATGAGTGATACAGAAAAAGATATTTTAAACGTCAGTCCAGGGATTAAACTGAAAACAAATAGATCTTTTGACAAGGAAAAAAGTCCTCATCTTTTATACCCTGGATGTAGAGGCCAAAAACACCATCTCAAAAGAACATTCATTCATTTGCAATAACATTCTGATCCTGTTTTTTCTTCTTTAATTTGATAATAAATGAATAGCCTGTGAATATAAAAGTGGCCTTCGATGGAAAATCCACTTTCCCCCAAATACAGTAAATATTGTGGTATTCCACTGCCACCTATTGAGAGGAACGACTACGAGCGCTCTTCTCAAATGTGAAAACCATTTACAATGTTTTTCAGTTTTCCACTGCAACAATGTTATAAATCATACATGTTGCAGGGCGGACTGACCCCGCATCTTTTGATAAGAAAAAAAAAAAAAAAAAACGCAAGATGTTCTCTAGTTGTGCATTTCTATTAAAAAAAAATTATAATTTTTTTGTTAAAGAAAACTGTATGGAGGGCATTGTTCCAATACACTACTTTCTTGGAAGCAACATGGTCTCAGCGTGCTGATTTTTGTTTAGTACTTCAAAGTGAACCAGAACAACAACCAACACTTTGTACGCCTGAGTGATAATGTAGATTTGATCTCACGTAAGGACGCTTTGCTTCTCACTATTGTTGAAAGCAGTGAGGACGCGCTGCCGAGTGTGCAGGATACAAAAGCACAAAAAGTACTCTCTTGCATCGCCTCTGTTTCAAAGGAGCCTCACAAAGAGAGTGCCCTAGCATAGACTAATGAGGTTTTGAGTAAGTCTCAAAATAAAATTGCAAATTGAGGTCCATTTACTAACATTTTCCAGAGATACAACTACATCTCACAATCATATTCAGATTTACTTTACTCCGTTGTCATTGTGGGATGTTATGTTTCTCTCCTTTTACGAACACAAGTATTATCATCATCATCACTATTATACATGCAGCCACCTTTGTCTAAATTCCAAAAACTACCCAAATGACTCATCTCCAAGACGGCCGTGCAAACTCCATCTGCTCATCAAAATCATCATCTGTTGTTGAAAAACTGCAGAAAAAGCCAGTAAGTGGTCCTGGGAGAAAAAAAAAAGGATTTAGTAAACGGATATTTCCAAGGCTAAGAAAGAACTTTCATCCTCAAAGACAGGCAACACGCGGGCTGCTTTAGTGAAAAAACACTTGTGCTAAAAGGACATTTTCGCCACATGACCTCAAGGACTCTGGGTTTGATCCGCCCTGCCGTGGAGCCGGCTAAACCCTTAACATCAACATAAGACTGCAAATGTCATCTCCAACGCGTTCGAAACCCACAGCTCTTACACACGTGTGCAGCGATGCAGGTTAAATACACATCGGCAGTCGATGCGAACGGTTTAACACACATCAAACCCGAACGTTCAACCAGCCCTGAACAATCAGCTCAGTCGGCAAACACATTATTTACACTTGCATTCGGGCTGGTAACTGTCAGACATGTGGTCATCAGCCAATCAGTGGGAGTGGATGATGGCAGGATTTAAAAACCACTGCTGCACCGCCCCCTTCCCACAATTGTAGACCAGAACCTCTGAATGGCAGCAGGAAGGGAACGGACTTGTGGAGCACTCTCATGAGTATGCAAGTTGAGAGTGAATGAAGTCTATCAGTGTCGTGCTGAAGCCTCCTGCCTAAAAGAGGGGTGTGTTAGTGTGTGTGTGTGTGTGTGTGTGTGTGTTGTAGTTGTTTGAAAGCTTTGGAAATGAGAGCCCTACTTGAGAAACCGAATAACAGAACACTGACGCTTTTATCCAAATATCCCAGACAAATAGGGAAAACATTTACCAGAAGGACAAAACGTTGGTGTGTGTGTGTGTGTGTGTGTGTGATAGTAGGAAGGACATGGATTAGCGTAAAGGCTAAACCCTGTGCTAATTTTAACCTTTTGGTTTCCACGTCACGGTTTTACACACACAGACATTCTTCCATGTAAAGATTACATTGAAGGCGAGAGAGATTCTGACTGTTCTCTCTGCAAGGTGGAGAATGTAAAGGTGTCAAGTAAGAACCCTGCGCGTGCATCTCCTCCTCTATTCTGCAGCTCGCTTTCACCTGCATTTCCTCGGGCAGCACTTCGAAATTAATTCAAGTAACTGGGGGGGAAAAGTTACAATAAAAAGGTCATTGTCTCATATCTTTCTATATAAAGTATTTGATCTATTCACTACCGCCTCGGCGCACCTTCTCCCCGGTTGATTCCGCGTTTGACTGTGTGCAGGTGCGCGTGTCCACAGGTGGTGTCGGGGACCGAGACGCTCGTGGATGAGCACGAAGGGGCCTCCCCTCCCATTCAGCGGGCCATACTTACAAACTTTGGTTTTCGGTCTCCCTCGTCGTAACACGAGCTGGCGCTGGAGGAAGCCTTCTTCTTCTGGAGTTTACCGGATTCAAACCGCTGACCGTAACCGTCCATGTTGTTGACCTTAAAAAAAAAGCTACTGACCCGGACACGAGCTAATCGCCGTTGACGTTAACGTAGGACCTCGTAATGTAACGTCTTCGTTGCGTTTCGCACGCGCCCTAAACTGGTGAAGACCACACGGGCCGAAAATAAACATTAACGTTTTCTCCTCGCGCGTTGAATTCGGCGGACAGCTGAAGCGAAGGTCGCCTTGCGCAAATTACATCCCTTGTTCAAAATAAGAGATGCGCATACGTAACCGTATATGTCCAAGTCTGCACTAGCTAGCGATAGCAAGTGCGCTAAACTATCATTGACCGGTGGCTTTACTTAGCGCTAATCCAATTTATGGATTGTCACATTACGTTAAACGGTGCCGATAGCAGGGGAACTGCTGTTTACAACGTACCGGTTTCCTCCTCTGGCAGGTCTTATGCGTCCTTCAATACTAAGCTGTAGCATCATGACAAACTAACGTTAGCTGAATCGTTGGCCGTACACACTTATGGGGCAGATATTTTTTGACAGACCCGCGCAATGGGGATGCGAGCCACGCGAATTTAATCCAACCAATAGCGTGCACCAAATGACGTACAACCCCCTCTGTGTACGGTTGAAAGGGCATTTGATTGGCCGCAACGAGCTGTCGATCAACTCTACCTCGTGTTGGCTCGTTTTAGTTACCCGGGTTTCCCGTGTATTCGAAAGGCGTTTGGAACCTAACTCCGTAGAAATGGTTACAGTCGGTTTGCAGTCGTTTGTGTGATCTAACTCCGCATCATTTTAATCATGTGAATCAACCCACAGATACATTTTTCTAGAATTGAATTAAAAACCACAGAAGGTGATGAAAACAAGCGTAACATGTACTTCAAAATACACTACCGTTATTGAGGCGTGTCCTTTATATAACTCAGTTCAAAACGAAACGCAGTCATCCAACACAAGGTTTTGGAGGCAAACCAAGACTTAAAAACTATTCAAATTATTCTTTAATATGGCAGCTTCTTTTTAGCTTTATGCGGTTATTAAGACAAAAGATATCCTGAAAGATTTATTCAGCTGTATGTGCCATAACAGGCCTCATGTTGCTCACGGTTAACAGGTTGCAGGTGGACACTGTCTTTTAGTGATTGCAAAAACAGATCTTGGATAAGAAAAAAAAGATCAGTGTTTTTGTGTCTTTGGTACCACTCACTTGTCAGATATCATGCAAGATTTTGATGTAGATCATAGACAATGTTTTGCCCTTCTTCCCATACTTGCCTGTCATGATGCAGGATTAAATTCACCTTTCGGTTATCATTCACAGTCCGGGCTGGAACCCAACTGATGCTTTCCTTTTTTTCCCAGCTTTTATTCAATCAGGTTGTTTTACCCTTATTGCTTCACGCTGTTGGCTTTTAGCTTTGTTTGGGCATTTAAAAGACAGCCTAGAGCTACAGTAAAATCCCAAATAGCCCAGCTTGTCTGATGCAAACTGCTATCAGGTGGTGTCATGCAACAAACAGAAACTTTCGGGAGATCCCAGTCCTATGCTCTACTCAAACAATGATCTGCTCCACCAACAAACACAGTTTCAGAGAGAGCTCTTCTATGTGTTTGTGAATTTCAAGGGGAATATAAATAAATAGTTTGCCACACATATAACAAATGCAACTACACGGCTCATCCAGCGCTGATGTTGCGCTTGATGCGGCTGGAACTTTCTTTCAGGGAACACGCGTAACCTGATTGTAATGGGATGAAAGCCACAAGTAGCACTAACCTTTGACCTACCTTTGTTTTTCCAGACAGCTAGGGCACATGCTAATCGTCCTCTGACCTCTGCACCGGAGTCAAATGCTAGTAAGACATGTAAAGACCATCCTAAAACTTTAACAACAGGTGCTTGCATGTTTGATTGGCAGCTTAAAAAAAAGAGAGCAAGAAATGTACTTAACAAACAGGTCGCATATTTCAGCTTTTTCTGAGCTCATGTAATTTGCTACTGTTATATTGCCAGCATCAATCTTATACAAGTGGAGCAGCGTTTCAGTATAATTATATTAAGCTATTACTGTGTCAATTTGCAAAAATGCAATAGACAGGGACAAATTCTCACATATGGTAAACCTTCATACAAATGGACATTTTAATAAGCACGGTTTGTGTATGAGGGGCTGGAAACCAGGTTAGCGCATTTTTAGTAACAACATTTTCTTATATTTGTTGTTTTTGTTTTTATTCCAAAGCAAGACTTAAAGCCTAATGTTGCTATTGAATAAAACCGCCAGGATATAAAATGTGACTTTTTTTAAATCCAACCTCCTGAAATCTTGTTATCTTCAAAGACCTTTCTTCTTTGAGTCACTGAAAGGCTGTCGACATGGCTGCCAGCAGTGTGTTAACGCTCTCTATTCTAGTCAAACACAAGACTTGGGGCATTGTGTCTTTCTAATTCTATAAATCGGAAAATAAGAGGTCTAGCATTCAAAATTGGTCAAAGAATTGCCACAAAAGTATACAATCAGAAAAAAGGGGCAAAATAATACAAATCTTATCGTGTCTGTATTGATAATGACGTTCATCTCTGCCATTTAAAGAGAAAGTCCATATTCAGAAAATCCATTTAAGCGAGCTTGATTCTTAATTCGAGACAACATTGTCAATTCATGAACACATACAAAAAGGTTTAATTCATTCAAATAGATCCGTAGTTAAAAATGTATGTCTCAAGTTGTATGCATGAACACAATGAAACCATGTTCCATGCGGTCTATTTTTTACAGAACAAGAATTCATCTTTTACTAGGAGAATACCACTGAAAGAAAGGCTTTGACTCAGTAAGGGAAATGTTATCCTCACAATGAAGCTTGGTAGTGGACTTTTCCTGGGACTTCCTTAAATTGTTTGACACACTTCAGTGGGCTTGTACTGCCATCTTTTGGTAACAATTAGAATGGTATCCCAATATTAGGTATTTTCCTTTCTTGTGCAGTTTAAGCAGCAAGTGCTATCTGAAAATCTGTAATATGTGATGCAGATATAGGCTTTAGAAACACAGTTGACTTTACTGAAATTACCAGATACATTTATAAACGTTTTCATCAGCAGAACCCACACAAAACATTTATCAAAATAGAAATTACCTTGGTTCAGTGTATGATGTGCCAACCTTTTTCTTAAGGCGAGGAAGACGCATTTTATACAATTTCCATTTAACATGTTTCTTCCCGACAATGCCCACATTGTGCCAAAGTACTAGTTTAACCTAATTGTTGAATTAGGACCATATTTTCAAAGAGGCTCAGTTTGGTCCAACAAGGTCTTTTTAATTCTGTTTTGTTCATTTTTATGTATAAAATGGTCAATATACTATAATACGGCTTATTCATATACAGGGAAATTTGTTGATTTGTGAAAAGGCCACAAGAATGTTAGTTTATGTATTACATTTGGACTATGATTGTCGTAAGAATGAACACTGAGAACATAATCGGGAAACTGTAATTCATTAATTCACTGAATATCAGACAATGAGAAATTGTTGTCTTTACCGATGGATGCCAAAAAATTCTACCCCTGAAAAAACTAAACTATTTTAGGAGAATAAATACGACAATGGAATGAAAATGCATTTGACCCTCTCGGCACTCCGTAGGTCTCGGCTGATGACGAGTTTTACGTGGACCGAGTGGTTCAATACTCACATTAGCTTGCCGCAAGCTTTATCATCGATAGAAGGAGAACATGCATTGCCAAAAAAGATAGTCGTCATTTAAGCGTGTTCAATTCCGACGAGTCGGTGTCGTTATTTACATATCTGCAGTGTGGATTAAAAAAATGACCGATTTGACAGAGTCTTTGACCAAAGAGGGCTGGTATGTACCCTGGTAGCTAACGTTAACGTCAGTGAGCTAACAAACGTCAACTCACTGACGTGCCAGATTGCTGTAGGCTTATAACACTAATCATGAGCCTTAACGTATTATTACATTAGCGTTTCCTTCGTGCACACGACTGTTTTACTACGCGTGGGGACGCTATTCGTTTTCCCGAGGCCAAAATAAGTCGTTAACTGACCAGGAGCAAGCCACATGAATAGCGTTGACCTAGCAACGGCGGCTACAGCTAACACACAGTTAGCGCGGCGTTAGCATAACGACAGTTCGTGTTAACTTTGATAGAGCAGTGATGACATCAGCTACTTGCTGGGGGGTCAGAGAGCCCCAACGGCAGCTAAACACAAGCACCTTTTTCATTTTGTGTCTGTTTTAGTGGGATTGTCCCTCTACTTACTGGATTAAATGTATTTTCCGAGCTAACGTTAATATAGTGCAATTTAATTGGTTTCGGTGTCGTTTAGGTAAATAATGAAATCCGACCTAAAATGGTCAGGCCCTAAAACTAATAATTATTATGTCATCATTGACGACCACTGAACCATTTGTTATACTATTATTGATATTGCTAAAACTTTCTTTAGTCTTTTACGGTTTACACTACTATTTTACACGAGCCTCGCGTATTTCCTTTTACTTAATTATCTTAGATATTCAGAATGTTTAAGCATTGGTAGTCGTTCGGCATGCTCTCCTTTTTTACTTGACACCCGTTCCACGTTCACCATCTTTCCTCTCCACCTTGTCTTGTTCACCATCTTTCCTCTCCACCTTGTCTGTCGTCTTCCAGGTACCTCAGTGATGAAGGCATTGCAGAGCTCAAAGGATCCGCTGAGAAAATAACACACAATGACATTATTCGTATTGCACTTGACGTAAGTTTTTACCCTGCAAGCTTTACGTAGGCATTTGGTCAAACTATAAGCCACTGTAGTAAATGGTTATTACACGTCGCTCATTGGGGTTAGACTGACGTACACAGCCGCTCTGCATGCTAAGAAAACACACACAGCTGTGGACACACATTTTAGAATTGGTGTTCGTTTCCTTTACAGTATGATAGACTAAAGTCGATTTGTGTGAGTGACAGATTGTGGGTAGTGTTAATTGTCCCACTATTGGCAGATTGGCATCTGTTCTTTCCATCTGCAGTCGCCCAGCTCTAAAGATTATCTTTTCACTTTCACATCAAACTGCGTCCTTGTTCCACTTTGATCAGCCACTTAAATTCAGTCCTTTGTTTACATCCTAACGTGATCTAAGAAATGAACACAAGGCCAATCTATTTGATTTTCATGGCTTTGCGAGATAAAATAACATGAAATGCTTTTGTGTAAGATGAGCAGTGACACTCCCCTGATCTGCAGTAGAAGACAATTCCAGAACACAGTAGTGGAATTTTCTGCAAAAGCCATGACCTTTAAGTTCTGACCGGGGTGGCTGCCAAAAGATCGCACACTGCACTTTGATTTACTACTAGATACCTGGTTTAACTGACATTTAGCAACTTTGGGCTGGGGCTTGTAGGGGATTTATATCGTCAACTATTCATTTAAGATTAATTAGGAAACAATTGTTGCTAATTTGTTGACCGTGAAAGCCAAAATACTGGTTTCTTAAATAGTTATCTATTAGTTGTGTTAAGTATGGAGACATCACTATAA